CCTCCATGTACTTCGAGTAGTCCCTGAAGCTTTGTTGGGTCATCTGAAAGCCACCATTCAAGGTGCTTTCACTGCTTGCTCTCCTCTCCTCACCTCTCATGGCCCTGCATGTGCTTTTGTTTCTATCTCCAAAGTCCAGAAACAGCCAGCACAAAGCAATCACTATGGCAAAAGGCGTGGCATATAGGCCACTGGGGCACGCGAGTTGTTCTTATCTTCAGCACTAGCAAACTCGAGCCCTAAGGGACAACCCAAGTATATAGACATTTGGAGGTCAAACCTGCAAAGCACAAACACAAGGATTCTTGCATTTCTGCATCGCTGGACCTGGACTCAGCTCCCCCCTTTCTTTAGCACTTCTTGCTTCTTCCGCAACCAACCCCCCCCCACCCCCCACCCGACCGACCGATTCTTCCGATTCCGCCGCACGCCCGCCGCAGTCGGCCTTGCGGAAGCTGGGAGTGTCGCTGTCGACCTCGGAGCTGGACGGAATCCTTCGTATTTTCGACTCGGACGGAAGCGGTTCCATCGCCGCTCGGACGGTTGAGCGCGCGCGTCCTTCGGTGGCTCCCGGTGGACGGAGGCGGAGGCGGAGCGGAGGAGCTGAGTGGAGAGGATCGGGGATCGGTGGAGTGCGGTTTTGGGGGGGTTTCGAGACTTGAGGATCTTGAGGAGAGCGCTGAGGGTTCTGGAGTTCTGGGTCAGTGATGAGACTGAGAAGGAACTCGGACAGTGGGAGGTGGGAGGCTTGAATGAAACACTTGTGGTGGCCAATGTACTGGTGTAGATTCCATGCTTGGACGCACCTACCTGGCACGAGGCAAAGACCAGGTTTGTGACGGGCAGTGAAACCCCAGTGGTCGCTGCAAGAAGGTTTGTGGCAGTTTGTCCAGGGTGCATTGCTTCCTAAGGAGTCTGATGGCAAGCAGGATGCTTTCATCCTGCACTCTATTCCATGCCTGTTGCAGGTAGAGTCTCTCTCTCTCTCTCCCTCCCCCCCTCCCTCCCTGTAGTGAATCGCAAAGTCTTGGGATTCAGAAAAGGCAACCTGATATGCATATGGGATGAGATGACAGCTGGGCCTCACACAACGCCCCAAACTCCACAAGTTCACAGCTCCAAGATTCATGTGTCAGTAGAGTAGGTCGTATGTCAATTCGTATGTCAGTAGGGCAAAAAGAATGGTCCCAAATCCAAATCTCAGTATAAACTATAGGTCCCCAAATCCAAACATGATGGGTTGGTGGAGATGCCGGGAGTTGGCTCCATTTTCTTCCTCTTTTTTTAGGTCTTCACCCTGCCTCCAGCGGGGAGAGAACCTCCTCTCCCTCCTCGCCGAAAAACCTTCGCCGCCTCCGAGGATTTCACGGAGTTTTATCAACTGCCGCTTGGCTGTGAATGGGATGACAGTGGCTGAAGAGCTGAACAGCCGAAGAGCTTGGCAGGACCCAGTTGGTGCTTAGAGGAGCTCTGGAAAAAGCTTCCCAGAGCTATACGGAGCTTTGTACCCTCCACTTTTCTTCACTTTGTAGCTACACGAATTTCCTCCGCGCAGTCGATGCAATCCTTGCCATGGCCTGCCATGAGCCATGCCCGCTTGAAGCTAAGGATCAAATCACAGGAAGACTATCTACCGGAGAACTTCGTATTTTGGAAGCATCTCCGCAGGGCCTTGACAAATGTTTTCACGCTTCGCCGCTTCGTATATAGTATATTCTTCGGTATCTTTAGTCTTTAAGTGGCCTTGCCTTCGACTCGGACTATTCAGGGACCTTAGATCAGCACTACAAGTGGTACGTGACACCCTTGATTGACGGAACCTGGGGTGCGAATCTCCAAACTGAAGCTTCATGAACGATCCCCAAACGACATGCACATGTGGATGTTTTCGGACTTGCCCGAAAGTTTCCAGGGTGAACAAGTCGAGAGGGTTTTGAGTCTCGGTGAAGCTGTCTCCCGTGCGGAGAATGACTGCTTGGCGCGCCCCAGGGCCTCCCAGATGACAAGGACAAGAATGACTCGTGGCCCGGCACACCAGTGATTTCCGTCCGAGAGCGCGAGGTGTATCGATTTCATCCTTGTCATATCCAAAAAGATGGTAAACACCGTGGTACACCCTCTGAAGTGGAAGAATGTATTGGAAAGCATTGGACAAATCGTGGACACAATGGCTATACACGGCGCCACAGAGAGACCGGCCCACCACGTGGCGCGTGGTTTGTCTCAAAGCGGGTGCTTTGGAGGGTAAAGATATCCACAGAGGGGGACATGACACTTGTTTCAACAGGGCCACACTGTCGCAACAAGGGCGTATCTTCATCAATTGTTGTTGATTTGGGGATGCAGATGAACGTCTGCGGGGAGAATTGGTCACCGACAAAGCCTGGATTCACCCAAATTGGATCGGTGGATCCAGTCGAATGAGCGAAAGAAGAAAACAAAGAATGTATCGCAGATGGTCAGATGTCATCGACCTCCAGGAATCCAACTCCCCACGCAAAGACCATAGAACAGTTTCATTCTAAGAAAAAACAAACAACACACCGAACCTACAGCCTACCCCCTAAGTAGGTTGGAATGCAACATGAATTGGCATCACACCTATACATGCAATTAGACATACACACACACATTGGTGAGTCAAGTTCCTCTCTTCGTAACCACCGAGTGATCACAAAGGCTGGACGCCTACAATCCGGGCGACCGCGTGAAGCTTCGGCTTTGTATCTCCAACAAGGCGCTGGAGTACGGTTGAGTCCTTTTGAGCCATGTCCACAACATTCAAATAACCTAATTGCAATGGCCTCCAACCTCATAGCGATCACCTCCAACCTAGCTAGGACCTAGCCAGACTCATCGGTCAGCCCTTCTGGCCATTTTTTTGCTGACGGAGACGAAGCCAGGTCATGGTCATGATGGTCCCTGACGCTATTTCCATCTATTTCCGGTGACTCTCCAAAGGTGCTTAACATTTTTTCAACAACACCTCAAGAACATTGAAGCTTGTTTAATGAAGTCTTCAGTTGGATCTCTTTCCTGAGACTGCAAGCCTCCAATAAGTGCAGTTTCAGAAGCTATAAGTAAGCCAAGCTGAACAAGCTGACGATCCAGTCGGAACCCCTATCCCCTCGTCCTTGGGCTCGTTTTTCCGCGGCCGGGGCACCGGATGAACCCGGCCAGGCCTTGCAAGTGGATGAGCATGATGAGCCGCATACCCTGCATGGCACCATTGTGGGCCGTGGCCCACGGAAAGAGACGTACCTTCTAAAGCTTCTTGGCAGACAGAAGCAAGCTTTTGGTGTGCCACCTGATCTCATTTTGGATTTAATGGGCAACATGCATGCTCATGCACCCTTCTTGTCATTGTTCTCCACCAAGAAGCGAATCATTCTTTCATCAATTGAGCAGGTGTGAACAGTGTACCGCGTCTCTGTCTCTCCTGGAAGCGACGGGTCCAACTCCCGCCTCTGGCGTGCAGAACACACCACGCAGCCAGTCGGAGGTTCCCCTAGTCGGGATAGCTCGGTCGAACCCGAACCGGTTAGGTGAGGAAGGAGACACTGTGAGGAAGGATACGCACGGCGGGGTGTCATGTCTCAGTCTGAGACATCTCATGTTCAACTCATCGACCTGAGGTGAAAAGCTTGTTTTGTTTTGTTTTTTCTCCCCTAGGCTGGTGTTTAATGATGTTTTTTGTAGAGTTCACTTTGATGATTCCGTAATCACAGTCACACTTTCCAACAGCTCCAGACATATATAATGATCTCTTCTCCATGTTTGAGTCTTGTGGTTTCAATTAGCATCAACTATAGCTGCGTAAGGGTTCCAGAGGAAAAGGATCACGGTCGAAGACACGGAGGCACGTGAGGCGAACGAAGCAGGTCGATGCAGGTTGGTGTGGTGCATGACATATGTTGCTGAGGCTGGAGGATAGCGAAGAAAAGCTGCTGGTGAAACCAAGGCGGACGGAGAGACGGAGAGACATGCGAGCCAGGAAGTGAGTTCATGGAAGTGCTGAAGTGGACCTGGCGGCAAATTCTTTTTATGCCCCTTTGAACCGCAGAGACAAAGAGCTTCTTTATAGTGACCTCTCATTCTCCTCCGAAACAGTGACGATGTCAGCCATGTTTTGTCAAAATGGACATGACCCGAAGCACTTTGACAGCTGAGAAGGGTCAAAAACCACAGTTGTCCTAAGCGGTATTTTGAGACCCCAGCTTTAGATAGATCATGTGTTGCATGCTGCATGTTCGGTGGGACTCAGGACTGCTGGGCCAGGTTTCTCTTGACATATCTCCTGTTGTAGTCCCTCTCCGATGTGCGTTTCCCGGCCTTTGGGAGAGACCGGTTTCGGTGTCCATTGGTGTCCCATGGAATTCGCCAAGTGATTCATCCAGTGGCGCCAGGCATATGTCCAAGACAAAGGCCTCCACCTCCACCTCCTCCAAGTCGCGATTGCCGCGGAACGGGACGGTGGAATTAGCGTAGAAAAAGACTCTTCTTTGACGCTCGGCCCCGGCGCCGGAGGGAATGAGTGGGTGTGGTGGGTGAAATAGACTGGGCTTGAGCTGAAAGTGTGGCCATGCAACATGTAGAGTTTCCCTACTAAGCCCTATATGATCCTATGATGGTAGAGTCTTGATTCGTAAAACCCCCCGGCTTTACAATCCAAATGGCGGGGTTTTTGTCCATCAAGAGTCTACAACCCCAGTCATCACACGAGCCACTGACACAGTCAGCATTGTATTTGAGTGACCAAATAGATCTGCATGAACGCTGAATAGAAATCTGAGTCTGAATCATTGCATATCACTACACTAAAGAAATATGAAATACCTCTAAATGTGCTTTCAGATTTAGGCCCGGCGGGATTTGTTTCAGGTGTTTAAGCAATTCCCACAATCTAATGTCAGGACAGTGACTGTCCGACAACGGCGTGGCATCTTGAACGTGAAGCAATCCATCTACCCTAGGGACCCAAGTACCTTCTCAGAAGGTACTTGGATCCCTCGGGCTAGATTTCAGCTAACCAAGGCAGGCTCACCCCAATTAGGAGGCCGCTGACCAAGCGGATTCTTGTTCGAGGCAAGTGAGGTACTTCTTCAACGGTCATTCTCACAGCACTGAGACTCTTGCACTGGGAAAGGCCGTCACACTCAGCTTCGGATCAAAGTTGCCTTTGTTCTTCAACCATAAGTGTTTGGTCCTGCCAAAAGGTTCACCACCATCGGCCGCGCTCAGGAGCACATGGTGCTCCACGTTGCGTCCTCCCAAGCACCGCTTTCCCCAGTCTGCAGCGCTTCGGGCCCTGCAGAGGGCGTGCGGCGGTGTGGCGAGGGCAAGGTTTGATATTTTTTGGAGGCCGGGGTCGATTGATGGATTTTGGATGGCTTTGTGGATGTAGAAGCATGTTTGTAACCCCCCTCAGAAATCTTATATGACAAATTTCTGGTGATGCACTTGCCAGCGTTATATACAGAACCATTCTCAATGCTGTGTAGCAAGCACGGTTCCCTGCTTAGCTCAAGCTTGGTACCTGATTAGCTCCTGTTCAATGGGCCAGGCAGCATCCACTCCTTGGATACCCATGGGGAGGGTCAAGTCTTCACTCGGATGGAGGCAAGAAGCCTCCTGAACATCCGCCAACGTCACACAGCGCTAGCAACATTTTGAACCTTTAGGCCATGATTTGATGAAGTCTCAGAACTTCCCCAAAAAGGATGAGTGAACCCTTGGGCCCGGGCGATGAATAGGACGAGAACGTCCCTGGTCCGTCCGATGGGTCTACAGATGTCTACAGAATCCATCGGTCTACAGCCTCGGACGGACGTCCTCCGTCTGAGTCGATCGGTCTCTTGGAGATGCGCCGCGGTGCGGGAGGTTCGGATCCAGGTCACTTTGGTCTTCTAGTACTATAAGTCTATATACAGCGGTTTCAGAGTAGATGGCACAAACCCCAAGATGTCCTTCAGATGGGGTCCATATAAACCACCTCTTGGGGTCTGTGCAATCTACTCTCAATCCACTATAGTGGTACTGTAACTTGGAGCTTGAAGATTGGGACCGGGATCAGGGAACATTTGGGACCTTTGCTTTTGCAGGGACGAACCCACCAGCATCCGATCCACCATCGGTGACACATCACTCATGAGCCGTGGTTTTCCAGTAGGTAGACTTGCGTGTTCAAGGAAGAACACAATTGCACAGGAAGTTTCACAAGCTACTCAGCTAACCAGCAGCTAACCGCCACCAGGTCACCCCTGGTCGAACACCCCTTACTACACTGTTTTGTGCGCAGCGCGAAGAAAAGAACCACTTCGTTCGCTGTGGCTGCCGCCCTTTCAGACGGGTACTGGCTGCATGACTGCATGACTGGTTGGTCATTCCCCACTAAAACCAACCAGCTCTGTGTGGACGCCGCGGACGCCCCTGGTTCCATCGGTGATCGAAGCCCTCGCCACGACTGAGAATCGGCCCCAAACTTGGCAGGCAGTGCCGGTTCCGTTCGCCTGAGGAGGGTCACATGGGTCAAAGAAGAGTGCTCCCAAAGGGCATTTGGAACTTCAAGAGATGCTCATAGAGTCATAGAGGATTTAATCATATTTAATCAACTTTTCAACATTCTTCTATACCTCTTTGAGAAGTTGGATTCGTCTGGGAGAAACCAGGAAGAAGAAAACTGATCATGAGATTCTTTTTTGAGGTTGACTGTTGGGCCAACGACCTGCTCATTTGAATAGGGACCTCCAAACAGTTCTTATGTGGAACATTGTGGAACATTCTAGTCCATCCGATGTGTGGGTTTGCTTGAAATCGGGCAAAAAGATCAAACAGACAGTTACGTGCTGATGAAGTCCATCTCCATGAGAAGAAACCCATGAACCACTGCGAAGGGGAGTTGGGATTTCTTTCTTGACCACTGATCTAGAGCACCATCACTATATACTTATCCGTTGCCAATCGCCTTGTAGAGCGTCAGTGTAAGGATCAGGCGCAGACCCCGAAAGGAACCAATCCACTAAGACTTCTGAAAGAATTTGCTGCTGAGATGGTCAAACCCAACAGACAAGGTTATTCTAGTCCTTGACAATTGGGCAAGATATAGGATCCTAGGCACTGATATGGCGGCTGTCCACGGCAGGATGCTTCAGTCCACCCTATCATATTTTTCGAGGTGCCCCACCCTATCTTCTTCATGCACCTAGATCAAACGAAACGAAACCCCATCTTCCACTGTGGTGGATGAACCTCCACCAGAAACCTCATCTTCTTTGTCGCTGAGCCGCTTTGCTGAGCCGCTTTATTGACCCATCACCCAGACAGTCCGCGGCGGCTTAAGCACCGGGAGCATGGTGCTGGCTGTTCCGGCACTGGCGGTTCCGTCGTCATACCCCACATGGGTGGCTGCGGGACATTTGAGTGGCAGTGGAAGAAGCCGAACAGATTCCAGTGACACACAGACGAAAGAGCCTAGGCCTTCGACGGTGCAGGATGACTGGTCCACTGTAATCACCAATTTAATCTATACATTCACGCCTTTGAACACTCAAGATCGATGATGATCACATCTTTGGAACCTTCAACGTTTGTCGTTTTGCTTCAAGCTGCTCAGCTTGGAGGGTAGCACCCCTCCGTGCCAATCCCAAATGGGAACACAATTTTGCGCAGGGGTTCTGCGCGTAGTTTTTCGCCTGAAGGACGGTGGCCCCCCGAATTCACGCCGTCGAATACAGTGCCGCACGGTGTTCAGGGCTTTCTTCGCACCTCCTGAAGCATCCGATCCCAGTGGGAGATGGATGTCCTCTGGAACCAGCTGTTTTGTGTGTCGGTTTCGCACGATTTGGTGTGAAGAACTTGCAGATGGGTTCATGTCTGATGAGACACCTCAGATGAGCTCAGATCAGGGAGGCCACCATCAGTCGCATAAGTGATTTGGCCGCAACCTGAGCTTGCGGCCAACCTGCCCCCGCAGAAGCTTCCAAAAGGGACGATCTGATCTGGACTTTGGAGCTTTTTCCGTGCGGCCGAAGCGATCCGATGGTGATTCGTTCGTCTATGCCAATAGACGAAGGTCATTGGCACTGATTACTTGGAAGGAGATGCTCTGATTACTTTGGTTTTCTTCTCAGATGAGGGTATGACGAGGAAACCAGTCGAAGCTGCAACTCCAGTCGAAGTCGTTAAAAAGGACAACACACTGAATGGATCTAGGTTCCTTGGCATGTCTACCCATTTCAGTGGCCACTTCTGTGAAACACCATATATCATCATATATCATGACTTCAGGAATTGTCTCAGCTAGGTCCTAGGTGAGCTCTTCATGCCAGTGATGATCTGTCTTTTTGGCACGATCACGAGACCCCCTCCTCCCCGCAGCCGACCTTCAGGTCAGGTCGGCACCATCCAGTCGACCATGTCCTCCACAGTGCTCCCGCTCCGCTCTCCGCTCTCCGGTCCCATCAAGTCGGCGGTGCCGAGGTGGACGACCCCAACGTCCTCAAGCAGGGCCGCCTGGTGGAGCAACGGAAGGGAGGCGCCTTCACCTCCTTCCAGGCCGGTGGGCCGGTGGACGCACACCGTGGATTCGTCGTTGTCGCTGGATCAGGCGGAGCTCGGTTTGGACCGTGGTTTTGGTTCGGTTTCTTCGGGTTCCACGGAGGGGAGGGCGGAAGAAGCTGATGAGGTGGTGATTTCTGGAAAGCAGGTTGTAGGTCAAATGGTGGGTGGGTGAACTGAAGGGCTTCCAATGACTTGGATGAGATTTTTGTGGCAGAAGTTGAGCTCGGCCCTAAGATGCCGGACCAAAGGGCCTTGTGGAGTATGACGACGGTCGGGCTCCCCGTGATGACCCCATCGCTTCGGAGCCATCCCTAGTAGCGTCCTTGTTCCGTTCGTAGCGATGCCATTACAGCCCCTAGTAGCGTCCTTGTTACTACTAGTGAGGCGCTTGTTACTAGTAGCGATGCCGTTTGTTACTGGTAGCGTCCTTGTTCCTAGTAGCGATGCCAGGAGCCATAGGACGGGTCCGAGTGGGTCAGGACAGCGAGCAGCTGGGCAAGCGGCGCCGGCTGCTGCTATTGGGTGGGGCTCTTGAGAGGGGCACGCCGGTTTGTCCGACGTGGAGCTCGGTGAGCGAGGAAGGAGAGATGAGGACACCCATTGAAGGCCCCAAAGTAAAGGGTCTTGCTCTTGCTTCTGCTTCTGCTTCTGCTGCTTCTTCTTCCTTCTTCCTTCTACTTGGGGAAGGGATGAACCGTGCCTGAGCCGCCAATAAACACTTAGGCCGATATGATATTCATAATCATGCAGTGAAAATGAATAGTAGACTGAGCTGTCCCGACCCCGAATCTTTAAGCGGTCGCATGCGGTCGCGGACGCGGTCACGGTTGGTCACCGTGATCCGCGGAAGGTCGACCGTGCCGACCGTGTCGATCTGAAGTTTCGTCGGTTTAATCATCCAGCTGAGGCATCTTGAAATGATGCCAACATTATTTTTCCTTGTCCCGTGTTGTGCTCTGGGGAACACGCGCGGGCTAGGGGCATTTACCTCTGAAAACTGGTGAGGTTGTTGAATTGGATCCTTTCTCGGAAAGTCTTGAGCTTCCTGTTCCAGGACTGACCCAGGCTTCCGTGGAGACCAATGCGCTCAACAATCGATATTTATTAAGGAAAGGCCCGTCAGGCACGTCCACTCGTCAAGACATCCATGATCCAACTCTTCAGCTGCTTTGGAGAGTCACGCCACCCCTAGTTACTAGTTCAGCTGGGTTCCGTAGATGTTGAAGAATGTCCGTCCCAAAATGCATCCCCCAAAAAGCATAGGCCATGCCCTTATGATCCAACCCAGTTGGATCCCTGGTCAGCTACAGCACCACTGCAGGGGTGGAGCTGCAGGATGCTTCGCGCTCTGGAAAGCCAAAGCTCACGAGGAGAATCGTAGGGATGTCGGGAATTGTTGGGATGTTTCTACAAGAAAACAGGTGGGTTTGAGTTTGAACTTGCACTTTGAAGGCTTGTTGGCCCCGCGACCACCTGGCTTTTGGGAATTGTCATGTGTTGGTGGCGGTCTTCCATGGTCTTCCATCTTCAATCGAGAATCCTGCGAAAGTATCAAGAGTCTCATATTCTATAATGGTCCAATATACAAGATGACCTGAGAACACTTGTGGTGCTTATGGCCCAAACTGATCATGACCCACACGTCTTGGGTCGGTCACCTACCTTGTTCAAAGCATCTCGCCGTATCTCGCACCGACGTGTGGCGTGACCCACACGTCGGGTCGTACCACGGATGGGTGGTGTTTCACCACCGCACGTGCACCGCCGGCACCGCCGTGAGGGAGCAAGCAGTCCAACTTCAGTTGGAGCTGCTGAGCGAGCGAAGGCCTCAGCCGCTGAAAGACAGACGAACGAGCTGTTTTCAATGTTTTCACGAGCAAAAGCGACCCTCAGCAGCGAGCTGGTAGCGAGCGGCGAGCGTGCACCGCACCAAAGGCTCCAGGGACTCCAGTTCACCGGTCGACTTGGAGGAGTTGACTTCGATATACTTCGATATTCTCCTCAAGACACCACCGATTCACCCAGCTCCTTGATCCCACACCATTCCACTTCTTTGGCTCCAAACCGGCCGCGGGGGTGTCACCTCCAAAAGCGCCCGGGGATGTCACCTCCCTCCAAACCGGCATCGATGTCACCTCGCCTCCGATCTCAGGTTCAGCTCCGCGTCCTTCCAGCGACGCCTGGCGGAGTTGAAGAACGCACATCCGAACGGGCCGCACTTCTACGTGGAGAGACGCAAGTTGATCCTCTCCGTCCGGATCCCAAGGTGTGGAAGAATGAAGAGAATACCAAAACACACCGAGAATGAAGGGCTTCCGGACAGCGACCAGATGTCCGCTGTGAGTGGATGCTGGTTGAAGGATTGAAGGCTGGATATGTTGGAACACTAATATGATATTGTCAGATCCAGCCTTCAAAGTGCTTGCAACAAGCACCATCTCTGCAAAAGCAGGTAGTATTTCCAGCTTTTTGTCCTTTTCGGATAGAATATGGAGCAGTTGAAAGTTACCGCCAGGATCCCGGTCTGAATTTCCACTCGAAAAGGGGCGTGGGGGCGTGCTGCAGGTTTACAGTTAAACATCTTCCCCAGGGTTGAACTATAAAATCATGATCACTAAAGTTGCATTAAGATGATTAATTTTTTGGGTAGAGGATCACTGGCTGGTCAAATTGAGATCACGCTTTTATAGTGAATTGTGTTTTCCAAAAGAAACAGTTTCTCACAAACTTCTAGAACAGAAATTGACTTTATAAGGAAAGGGTTGCCAGTGTAAAATTTGGTTTTGATGTTATGGCACATGTTTTTGCCTCAGATTTTAAACAGACCCACATGGACAACTTAAAAACTGATGATTATACAGCAAAGTGAGCTAGTGCAAAAATATGAATTTGATTTATAAATAAACACATTGATTTTATAAAGAAATAAGTGGCCACTTCTAGATAAAAATTAACATATACTGTAGAATGGTATATGTGTAAACGCATTATTCAATGTATTCGTGTCTTTGATCCATTTGGCGTGTGTCCGATTTCTTTGTGGTGACTGTTCAACACATAATGCCATAAAATCCCAGAGTAGAGTAACTCTGGATCTGTTGTGGCTGTACAAGCCTTTTATGGACCTGTGCGCGCCATTCTATCGTGACTTCATTTGGCTGTCCTGTGAGCTAAGGATGTCAGGTTTGTTCCATACTTGTGTTTATTTTACAGTTTTCAGTGTGTATGCACGCTGCTGGAAATAACATTGTATAGTGTAGCTCTCCCCCCCCAAACCCCAACCCTGCACGTTAAGTGCTATAAAATGGGGGGACCAGTAACTATGTAAATTCCCACGGGGATCCGCCAGCACCATTTCACTCAGATTCGATCAGCTAAAGCTTGACTATCGTGGTCTCCGGAGAATATCTCATCTGGGTGGTGGTTTTGGATATATTTGAGCAGCGTTCTAAATTCACTCTTTCTTTTTTAGTCAGGGACCGGCGAAAAATCAGTGAACATAGTGATTTTAGCTGATGTTTGTAAGGTGTCCGTAAGGTTTGCCGTAAGGATGTGCAGACTTGAACGATGCCGTAAGGCTACCGGAAGCGAAACTTATCTATTTTGATTCTGTATCCTTTCTTGTTTTGCAACAACATATCAAATGTGACCATAGTGGACTTGCATACCTTCGCCGGAAGCACAACGTAAGAATAGCCATGCATACATGTGTCACCGTAAGCAAAACATAGAAAAAACGTAAGCTTTGCGTAAGGCCTACAGTAAGGTTTGATTTCTCGGCAAGAAAAGACAACGCAATTTTGAACACCGCTCATTTGTCTTCATTGAACCCACCTCCGATTTGTCCAGTGACTTCGATGATCACAGAAATGGAGGTTCCAGGCCTCATGTCATCGCTCGAACACCTCGATTTTCAAATGGAACGCGGTTTTCATGAAACTCACTCATGAAACCTCATGAGGGTTCCAGGCCTCCAGTTGCATTAAACCCTCTCATGGATTGCTTCCGATGTTCGTTCCCCGAGGTCCAGACGAAGGTCATCCCCAAGTTCGGCTTCGCCGGGGATCTGGGTGGCGTTTTGGAGATGGTGGTCCGGGGTGCCCAGAGGTCGGACATCGGGGAGAGTGGTGTTTCAATGACTTTGGGCGACTTCTTCGGTTATAATCAGTACATAAAGAGTACATAATTATATATATATATTGTGTAATCAATATGATCTATAAGTAGAATGATAATAGGTGCTTTTGGGGTCCCCAGGTTACCAGATGGTGGACATTCCCAAAAAGATTCCAAATGCCTAGTGTCATGGAAACCTACCAGTGCGAGAAGCCAAGTTAATAATATAGTTGATATTTTGAGCCCATGTGCCAGAGATGCAAATGTCTTCCAGCCCAGCCAGTGGCCGAGGATCCCTAGATATACCGACATCAATCACTCTGAGAACTGTCCTGGGGGCCTTCTGGGGTAGAAGATCATACTTCATCTTCAAGAGTCAGGTAGTCAGGTCAAATGATACTGTATAGGATAGAGGTGGTAATTTCGCTTCTTCATGTTTGTTCATGTTCTTTTTCTGTGTAGTTCTGCAAACGTGCTTGATAACAACCCGATGATTTCTTCAAACCCAAACGCCTTAATAGAACCGTCAGAGACGTCCCCAAAGGTGCAAACGTGCTGCGACACCGCGACGCCGCGACGTCCCCCCACACGGCCGCCCTAGCGCGTGCTCGGGAGCTTCCCCGATGGCGACGGCGAGTCGGAACTCCCAGGGGGACGACGGCCGTCGGTGGTCGGCCGTCGGTGGTCGGCCGGATGGGTGGGGACCAAGGGTGGCCCATGTTGGGGTGGGTCGAGTCGGGCGGCGGGTTGCGGTGTCATTGGCCGATTGGCCGATGGGAATCGGGGTGGTTGCCTCAGGCAGGCAAAACATTGGAAGTGTTGCTGAAAAGGCCAAAGTATTGCTCAACATCTCAACATAACTGTGGACCTGAAGGGCCCCACCGGCTGGGCCCCCAAACGAACGGGTCCAAGCAGCTAGGGTGCTCTCGCCAACCATGCGAGTGGGGCGCCAGGATGGGGCGACGAGGCTGGGAGATCGAAAGGTCTGGGCGCCCAGTGGAAGGTGGCGAGGCTGGGAGGGACACGTTTGGGCGCCTTTTTGGAGGGGAGACCCATGGGAGTATCCCAAGACGTGGACCCATTGGGGAGTATCCTGGCCGACGACTGGCAGAGATGAACAGATGTGATGTCGAAGTGCCAAAGAAGCGATGGTTCAGCCTGGTGGAAGGTGGTGGCAGATTTCTTTGGGTGCCGTTGTGAGATGCGACCAACCGCGTCTGGGCTTTCGTGATGACTGGCGACCACGGGTGTCGCGTCTTCGACAACTCCACTTGCTGAGATATGAAGAGATCACGCCATATGCCATATGAGTGTGGTGTGACAAGACACATGTTTGAACGAAACCCAAAGGATTACACCTAAGCAGCGGCAAGACACACGTCCGGAGCTCAAGAGCCAGTCGCTGAAGAGCTCGCTGCACCCAACGCTGCACCCAACGCATGTGTTTGGTGCCCCGAACGCCGACGCGGCGCGTGACCGGGACGACGAACGAGTGCCGAGTGCCAAGGCTCATTGGCGAACGAGAGGAGTTGGAAGCGACGAGCCCTCGAAAGGACGGCCGTAGCCGCAAGGTGCTGAGTCAGTGCATGCAGACCACCCACCAGAAAACAGTGCCTCCTTACAAAAAGATACAAAAGGATCCCTTTTGGTGGTTTTGAGGCCCCAGAAAAGCTGTAAACTGTAGGAGTCTGACTCTCTTGGAGCTTGGATATGCTTGGATGCAGACCGCGGACCGCGGACCGCGACACCGATGCACCGCCCGAGCGGTCCGGCAGGATGGCCTGGAGACCGATGCATCGGAGGAGGTGTTGGACCTCCAGGCCTCCACGGAGCGAGCGTTCGAACAGAGAAGCGTTCGGGTGGATGTTTGGCTCCAAACATATATAGATAAAACCGCGGTTTCAGAGAAGTTACCTTTGTTTTTTTTTTTTCCGGTCAGTTGTTCCCATGGTAGATGATTCATCAGAGGGCTCAAGGGGTGGAACCATAAATCGATCTTAAAGGGGTTCAGAGTGACGCAGTGCAACATACGTATATCTGTGTTCTGGTTGCCCTTTTCTCCATGAAAGGGGATCCTGTACTATGGTGCTGTGATTTGCTGCTCACTTCCCCTCCATTCAACAAGAGATGCTTTCACCACAGCTGAAGTGTTGACAAACAAGCTTGAAGCAGTAGATCTACGATGCCCAGTTCCCGTCAAGCGGTGATTGAGCAGCGGAACGGGTGCATCACGGACAGTGATACTGGTTCAACTCATGAAGACAGTTGCCCTTACTTGTGCCTTGTCATGAAAACAGAGTCCCAGGAGCAAGGCTGCAAGAACATTCCTTTCTTAGCACGAGCAGCAGTGGTTGTTTTGCTTTTCGTCCTGTCCCTGTCATGAATTCTGTTGCGACTGTTGGGGAAGAATTGCCCAAACTTCATCCCAGGAAAGACACAGCTGGAGACTTTTTGTGCCTCCACATCCCCACAACCCCGGTCTTGACCCAATGCATGTATTTTTTCAAGCGCCTTTTTTGCAATCATCCTTCGACTTAAACCTACCGACTCACTCGGCTGACCCGAAGAGGGACGGCTGGGCCAGCCGGCGCCCGCCCACCTCGCCGTGCACTCGGGCGATGGCGATGCCAGGAGGCCCCTCCTGCGCGCTCCGACGCCGAGACCGTTCCGACCGACGCGGTCGACACCTTCAGCGACTTCGTGGCGGCGCTGGACGAGTTGGACCATGAGATGCCCGACGACGCGGTCTCCCCCAAGGTGGACACCACGGGGGTGGACACCAGGGGCTGTCCGGGGGCTGGGCCTTTTTCTGTCTCGTGGAGAGTCGTGTGGAGTCAAGTGGAGTCGGATAGGAGATAGGAGGTAGAGGAGGTGATCGAAGAGCAAGGTGAGAAGCTCTTCCAGTTGGAGATGTTTGAGGAATTTTTGGATCCAACCCCCCAAAAGGACTCGTGAGAGATACTGTATGAGAGTCATCTTTTGAGTCCGCATGGGCACCTCCCAAGCTTGCTCCAGGTGTTCTTCTTGCTTTGGAAAGGGCTCCTGTTTTCTATGGGGGAAGGCATTGTGTTTATTCATGTCCTTAGCATAGCAGAAAGGACCCAGTGTCAACTCCGCTAACGGCCAGAGATACAGCCGAGGGTACGTGTGCGTGAATAGATTTGTTCAGCGATGAAGAGATGGAAGTGGTTTCGCAAATGATATAAGCACGTTTGCCCAGGGTGGATTCAGATATTTTTATGTTCAACTTGTACTTGTGATGAGCACGAACGTGCTGACTCATATGTTTCAAGTGACTTGAGATCATCAACTAGATATAGATTGAAACTTGAGACGGCTCCTTCAAGGCCCGGTCAGGTTCTTTCAGAAGTCGTTTGTGTTAAAAATGGCCAGGCTGGCAGCATGGCATTCGCGCCAAATAACACTGCGGTGGAGGTGCAAACCAGTTTCATTTATCATTGCTTTGCTTGCTTTGCGTCGAATATGGAGGGTTCAATCATGTTCAATATGTCTCGGATTGTTGGCATTCTATAAGGACTGGCCAAGCCGAAGCTCAAACAGACTTAGAGAAAAATCAACTATGTCAGGCTGATGCCATAGAGCATTCTCCCATCGAGGTGCAATGCTGTCGTTGTCCAGTTGAGATGCTTTCCTTGCGAAGACTTGTGCATCATTCCTACGTCTTATATAACGGATTTTTGTGCTTGACAATGTGTGTTACAGTTGAGACGTTTTGCCACTGGCACGGTTTGCACCCACTTCCAAAGTCAGCGCACATGTGGCTGACACATTGATAGGCTGATACCTTGGAAGTATCAGATTCCAAAGAAGTGGAGGAGGCTCCCGGCAAGGTGCATGAGTCAGCATGAGTGCTTGGTGCACGTGCATATTTTCGTGTTGACTCTTGTGATAGATAATGATTACATATGACTGCAGTATATGATAATGTGAGAGATACCAGGACCCTCCAAGGGGTCTATAAGCCCCTAACCGCGTGATTCGGGGTGTATCGTCTAACCGCCTGCCACCGCGTTCCCCAGTGTTTCGTTCGGTCCTCGCAGCGGGAGTTCGGTTCACGGACGTATTCGGGCGGCGACTGGCGTTTGATGTCATTCACTCCCCTCCGAATGGACCAACCTCTTCATTATGGGGGTAGTTTTAGGGTGGTTTGATTCATCCAGAGACTGGGACGGTCCCTGTGACCCTTCAACTCCCCGCTTCCTGTTTCGAGGGCATCCACTCGACTCCCCGGTTGGACGGTTTGGGATGTCGGAGGTCCACCGGAGTGGTCTGACGCCCTGGGAGTCCAGTCGACTACGAATCGGTGACCCGAGTCGGATGGAATTTCCACCTTCAGTCGGTCGAAATATGGTCGAACTAGACTTCTAGGGCATAATTCATGTCCGAGAGAAAAAAGACTGAGTGTCCAGAATTGTCCAGAATGCTGTTCGATAATTCCTCACCTTAGGATTCAAGTTGGGGGGCGCAAGACTCTGGGATGAGGCATATGGACTAGGCAAAACTGGGGAAGTGTACTTGGAGGGTGACTCCCTTTTTAAGAATCAGTTGTTCTGCGAACTCAGTTTACTTTCTTTTGGGCCCATGCCGTTGTCATTGGCAGTTTTGGTTGTTTTGTGGATGGTTCTGCTTGGAGATGATGGGTTGAAGAAACACAACTGCTTTACAGGCAACCAGCCACCCATGTAATTATAGAGAGATTCTCAATGCAATATATAAATAACTAACTAAATAAATAAATATATATATACATACCCTCGGCAATGAACTACGACGGAGTTGTTGTGTGCTACACTTTTTTTTCCCGAATTCAGACTGCCGGCACTTAGCTTGGCAGTCCTGCGACAGAGTGAAGGTGTCTGCAGAATTCATGCGCATCAACACTGTTTGATGTCTGACGAGGCTGACGCGTCAGCAGTTGAGGACCGTTCCAGCGTGATGCGGAGTGACGCTTTGAGTCCTGAGAGTCGACACATCGCGGACAGATCATGCGACAGATGTGATTTTGTTGCCACTTCATGTTGACTGGCCAGTGGAACAGGCCCGCCCCCCGTCTCCAGTGGAGTTTTCTCTTACATTTTGAGAGAGGTCCTCCAGTTGATGTGAGGACGCTGAAGAGACTCCCATGGAGGTGCGGTCATGACCGGTGATTTGTCAGAAATCCTTCGGAATGACTCTGGCCCAGTCCTGATACTTCTTGTGCCTACCACATATATATATAGATAGACACATTTAAATATATATATATATATCCGTCTGAAGAAACATTCTGTGCCTGAGGTTCTCTGAAGGCTTCCTGACTTGGCAGATCATACTTAGAAGCATGGGCAGATTTCAAGCTGGGACAGTGTGGTTCAGAAACCTTGACACACCTTGTCAGGATGATGCCTTGGAGATGGAAGTGGCCAGATTAGTTCAGGAGACTCCAGCAGAGGTGCTTGATATATTCGTGCAGCCTTGATCAACCTTTTTTGATCCGCAAGCGTCCGCTAGTATAGTAGTGAAACAATGTCGAGGTGAATTGACTGGGTGCAACCGCGATCATCTTATATATATACATACTCTGACTCGATAACATTAACATGGAAGTAGAACATGGCCTCTTGAATAACCATTTTCCTCTACACACAGGTTGATTTCCACTTCCATGATTTCTATTTCAGGGAGTGTGTTTCAATTTCCCATACACTGTTGTGCGACAGATGTTGGGATTGCTAAATCTTTAGGTGTGCAGTTTGCAGAGATGTTTTGTGCCTTGCTCATCACACGCGAAGCAAGAAAGTAAGACATGGTGTTGGCACATCAGCTGTGCCGCAGAGAGAGGATTTGCTGATCTTTTGTGCAGAGGCATTTTGCATCTTCCGTCATAGTACTTGCAGTGGTTGCCAAAGCACTTCATTTCAGGCTGCTGCAGTTGAAACCGAAGTGGAGAAGGCCTTGACATGTGCATGATTGGTGAGTCACAATGTGATGAGCTGTTTTGCTCTCCACAGTTGACCTGCACACTAGCCAGCATTTGTGAGTGAAGGCGGTTTGTGATTGTTTTTGTTCTGGTGCCAGATTTAATTCGATGCGGCTTCGATGTGGGCACAGCTGGGACAGTCAGCCGCTTGTTTGGTCTACACATAACTG